TAAAATCGAATTCCTGAGACATAATAGCTTGTTTGTCATAAAAGATTGTTTAAATAAAATTAAAACATGAAACTAATAACAAAATAAGAACTCTTCTGCTTTTACATTCTAAACGTCACGAGAGTTCGCACTATAAATGGTGAAATTTGGCAACTTGGCATTGTGCAATAAGATAGTTGTGCGAAACTGTCTATGAAATATGCCATCCCTCCCAAAATAAATTTCTTTTAATTTTTCTAAAATTAAATATATCATCACTTAAAAAGAATAAAATAAATGGCCTCTGAACTTCTCCCCTGGCTTGAGAGGTAGCAAGCCCACTCCCCAGAATTCATGGAGAAGTTCACCCAGGTTCGAGCCCCAGCGAAGTCAGCAGCATTGGCTCTTTGTGCGTCATTAGCTTGAGAATAGTATGAACAGATACTATCTTGTAATAGAATCAATAGCATTCAAAAAATAAATAAATAAATAAATGACCTCTTAATTTTCTCCCGCCTACACAAGTCGCAATAAAAAGCAATTAAACGCTATATAAGAGGAAACATGAAATTTAATTTGAAATAGATAGACAAAAACACAAAATACAATGTGGTATTATATGTGGTGTTATATTTGGTGCGACTATAGCTCTTTCCATATGACTAGAGGAGAACTTATTTCATACCATAATGCTGAAGTCACAAATAACTTAGACACAAATTTTTCACAAACTTGTTATTTGTGTATCTAAATGAATACTTTTAAATTATTTAAAACCATTTTATTCACTTGAAAAAGTGAATAAACTTCCCTTTTACCCCTTACTTTTTCATACCCTACCTATGCATATACTCAAAATCCTTTTTGACTTTTTGAGGATTTAAGGGAAGGATATTTTTGTGTTGACTTTCCAAAAATACCCTTGATGTGATGTGTAAAAGTAAGATGTGATATATAGATTATTAGTAAAAAAGTGTGATGTGATAGATAGGGTATGAAAAAGTAAGGGGTAAAAGAGATTTTTTAAGAGAAAAGAGAAGTTTATATGGGAACACAGAAAAAACGAAAGAGGAAGTTTATTTGGGGAGTAACACATAACTAGTTTCGAATAAATGATAGTAATATTCTTTCTTTCCAAACTAAGACTTCCGTATACTATTCATAGGGTTAAAGTAAATATTCTTTCTTTATACTCCGTATGTTTTCATTAGTAGTTTCACGTACGAAATAAATTAGTCATGTTACTTAGGGTCTGCCCTAAAGATTCAAAGGTCTAGAATGACACAGAAAAAAGGTCGCAAGTTGGTCGATCGGGACATATTTGAGTTTGATTTAGTCACTTCAAATTTGGGTTGAGAATGATAAATTTATCACCCAGTAACCACTGTCATTGAGTTTGAGTCAATCCAACGGATAATGAGCTTTGTTTTTAGAATTTTTAATTTCATACTACCACTTGCATTTTGCACTAAATCAATAATAAAGTGCTAAATATATTAAATTATTTTATTAAGAATTTTTAATTGTTTTTAGATATATTTAACAATATTTTGGATGATATAAAAAATTATACCGTACCAATTATGAAAAAAAAGTAAGATAACTATGTGATATCATTAAAAACTTATTTGAAAATACTCCCTATGTTCACCAAAATGGTTCCTATTTTGACTAATGGAAGAAATAAAAAGTGTATATTTGTAGTTGACTTTCTAATTTTGTCTTTGATATGATGAATAAAAGTAAGATGTGATTAGTAAATTATAAATGAAAATCCATGATGTGATAAGTATGGTAGAAATTAGTATGGGTATAAGTAATTTTTAATAGAATGTAAAAGTTTTTTGTTGAAAGGAAAAAATATAAAAGAGTAAGTGCTTTAGTTAATCGAGGGAGAACAAAATTTAAAAGCGTAACCTTATTTTTATCACATTATTTTTCATATTAAAGTACATGATTTCTAAACAGTCTTACATTAGCGGGTCAATTAGGTTGGGTTCGGGTTCAGTCGAGTTTAACCTATTTTTAGCAGGGATATATATATATATATATATATATATATATATATATATATATATATATATATATATATATATATATATATATATATATATATATATATATATTGGTTCCGGTGAGAATGCGATCTTATGAAAGAAATAAGAATGAATCTGGTGCTTTAGATTGTGAGATCTAAGGGTGAGGATTGCATCAAAATTAGGTGCACCAAAATGGTTTGAAAATGCATCATGTCGAAATGCACTAAAATCCCTTGAAAATGCACTATCTCAAAATCCGAGTGCAGGATGCAATCTGAGCCGCACGATGCATCACATCCAAAGGCTAGATTTCATTCTTATTTCTTTCACCTAGGTTCATTCTCACCTGATCCGGCCCCTATATATATATATATATATATATATATATATATATATATATATATATATAGAGAGAGAGAGAGAGAGAGAGAGAGAGAGAGAGAGAGTCATATACTCATATGTATATATACATGTATTGGCCTGAATTAGGAAGTAGTAAAAGTAGAGGAGAGGAAAAAAGACAAGTAGTATATGTGCAAATAGATCATGATGAGAAGGGAAGGAGAACAGCAGATGATTCAAGATGAAAAGCCTTCAGGTCCTTCTCTCTAATCTTTTAGCCTTTTCTTCTTGTATTTTGGATGTCCAGAAAACAACTTATATATGAGTATATGCATAGGAGATTTATTTGTTCCAGGCATTTATCATTGTTTTATTAATAAATACTCCGTTGAACTGTGAGTTCAATTAATCTTTCAATTTGGATTTTAATATCAGACGAGATAATAAGGGTATGATTTTAGGGTGTAGACTATTGAGCTTTAATTCGGATCTTTGGCTTATTTAGTTATAACTACTAATCTACTATTATCTCCGTCCAAAAAAATCGCATTATTATTCCCGCGGTGAAATCATTTATTTTTTCACTTTATATTTTTTACTCCTTCCGTCCCCCTGTATTTGTCCACATTTGACTTTTGAAACTGTTCATCTAAGCACTTTGACTCATCAAATTCTCTTAATGTGTAAGCCTAAATATAGTCATGTGTGATCTTGTTTGATTTGTCTTAACATATAGATTATTAATATATAATTTTTATAATTTTTTAATATACAAATTACAAGATAAAATGGATTAAAGTGCATTGGATGGTGTGCAAAAATGAAAGTGGACAAATACAGGGGGACGGAGGAGTATTAATCATTTCATTTCCACTTTATATTTTTATCAATCAGCATGTAATGTTTGGTTTTAGTTTCTTAGTAAGGTATAAATTTATTTTTAAATTCTACTTCAAATTTAACTAAAATAAAAATTGTTTCAAAGGTTATCCGAGTCAGATTGACACGAAAAAGAAGAAGATGAAGAAGTGCACTCCACAAGGCAAGCCAAAGGGTAGCTTTCTTCAAGGATGGTAAGTAGCCAAAGGGTTGCTTTCCGTAGAACTTTTCAATTTTCTCATATTTCACGCCATATAAAACATTTTAATTTGGCTTAAATGGATACATTTACTCTTATTTTCCTTAAATCTAAGAGAACCTCGCCTAATTATATTCTATACCCTATCTATTTTGACATTTTCCAAACTCTATTCCTTTCAATTATTGTCGTTTCACTTTGATCAAACTTCTACGGCTTTCCATTCTAAAAGTCAAAACATGAAAGGAAAAGAACTAAACTAGAAATAAAACATCAAGAAAATACAAAAATAAGAACTCCATGTTTTTTATCTCTAAAATAGGAATATAATGCAAATAATGCCAATATATAGTACAAAAAGTACAATAGGATGCCACTATGTAATGCCACGATGTCAAAGTACAAACTTCTATTGTAAAGATAAAAACATGGAACTTCTTTTTCTTTTTGAAGATAAATGTTACTCCTTCCATCCCGTTTTAAATCGTCCGTTTTGACTTTTGGGCATATTTAAGAAAAATTAAAAATAGAGTTGATTTTTCAAAATTGTCAATACTTTTTAGGAGGAATGATGATGAATGAGAATATAATGTGGAGAAGATTGAGTTATTTTAGAGGTAGTTTAGGTATTTTATTTTTAAAAGTTTAGGAAAATAACTAACAGGCAACTTATTTTGAGACGGAGAAAAAAGGCAAACAGGCAATTAAAAATAAGACGAAGGTAGTATGTCCCTACTCCTGCACCAATTTGAAACGATTTTTTAAATGAGAAATGTTTTTGCAGGACGGAGGATATATAGTATAGCCAGTCTTTTGGTGATGAGAATATAATAGCACCTAATTTTGGTTTGTGCAGCTTTTCCGCCTTATGTTGTTGCTGCGTACTGGAAGAATGCTGTTGAGAAATGTTTGACTCATGGGATTTACTCCGTATTATATGCGGAGTACTACGTATTTGTTGCCATTGAGTCTTTGTGACTATAGTTAAAAAAAACAATGTAATAATAATACTCCTCGTACAAACATTTGTATGCCTGTTGAATTTAATAAATGATGTGATCATGATTGCTCGATCGATAATATTCATTTCACTTGGTGTTATTATATTTGTACTAAGCTTAAAAGGGTAAAATTGTACCCTGTATTATTTAAATTTATGCACTGGAAAAAGAAATAATAAGTGGGAAGATAAAAAGGGGCAGAGGGTATTAACTAAAATCTGGAGTGTAGGAGATAATTGGAATTGGAAACTTGGAGACTGAAGAAGTGTGAAGAAGAGGGAAAAGAAATTGAAAATAACAGAGGCTGAGGCAAAAAAAATACCTTGGCAACTGAAACACTTTCGAGAAAAATCTTTGGAAAGGAAGGAATGAGTGCAAATAGAGAATGCATATAACACAGTCCTGCTATAAAGGCACTTGATGTGATTGGAATAAGTTCTTACCTGATGTGGTCTGATTGTAATTGTATTTAAAGTTGTTTCTGATCTCATTAGATCTGGTCTGGTCTGATCCGACTCCAATAAGAACACGTAACAAGAATAAGTTGAAGAAGACAAGCTCTAAACTCACCTCCATCGCCGCAAAAGCACCACATGCATAATGAAGCCAAACCGCTTCCCCAATTGATGTATATCTGCAGGAAAAAAAAAGACATAGGAACTTTGGTTGAAGTTGACAAAGGGGAAAGTTCCTTCGGAAAAGTTAGCAATCGCAACAAAGTTAAGAGATTTTCAGAAAAATAGAACATAAGCACCAAAACTAAGATTTGTAGACCAAATCCTCTCCTGGATTGTCTTTGTTACAGAAGATATAAACATTGATCACATTAACATCCTTACCAGTTGCATGGAAATACAGCAACTCACTTTTCCCATCCAGTAAAAGCATAATCAAAATATTGGAAAGTACATAACATACTCCATAATAGGGGGTCTATTGGAAACAGCCTCTCTACTTTCAAGTACGGGTAAGGTCTGCGTACCACACCCTCCCGAGACCCTACTTTAGTGGGATTATACAATGTTGTTCTTGTTGTACATACTCCATATTAGAGACGAATGTGCATTTTTCTTGTCCAGTACCTTCCCAGAGTAAGAAGCAGACTTTGTGACATTAATTGCACACTGGTTCTGAAGTATTTAAAAAAAGCCACAGAAATATGATGTAAACTTGTATAGTAGAGTTACTAGAAACAATTTAAGATATGGGAACAGAACCCTTTGTGGGACTGGATATATACTTTTAATGAGCACTCCATCTAATTATACCAGTCAAGAAAAATAATTGAAAAAGTAAGAACAAATAGAAAGAGCAAAAGAAAAGTTCTGCTACTGCTGTTGCGTTGAATGGCCTTCGTTAATTCTCTGTTACCAAGCTCTACATTCATTGTAGCTTCAACTGCCTGTTGCATCAGAGAAATTATTATGATATCAGCTTTTTTAATCACTACCAAACACGCAATTAAATATTTCTGGGTTATATAACAAATTCATTATATTCGAACAAATCTTTATCTAGCATGAATGAATGCCATGTGCTAGTGACGGAAGGAAACCAATGAAAGATTTATCTAACATTTTGACAAGGTAGTAAGATTCATCTAACCTGGTCATACAAATACTCTATCTGTTGAGCCTGTTGCAGAACATGTGTGGACATTAGGTGGTTTAAAGCAGACATTTCCACCATCTTCGTTTCAGTTTCTTGAACCACATCCAGGAGGCCGCTCAACTCTAACTGCATCATAATCACACCCCATGAAATGAGATTCTAAGAGGTCTTGGACCTATCCAAGAGTTTAATCTATTTGAGATCTTGAAAAACAAATCCTTTTTGGTTTTCAGAAACATTCTACTCCATCCGTCAAAAAAGAGCTGTTTCAGAAGTTATTTCTGTCCCAAGAGTGCAATTTCTTGAAACGAATTGATTTTCATGTAACTTTCCACACAAAAAAAGGTTCAGTGTGATAAAGGTTGTTAAAAACAAAAAATAATATGCTAGAAATATAAGAAGAATTCCATGACTTTTAAGAGTTGTACCTAGCCTTGAAAGGAATAGATTAACAAGTACGGAGTATGACGCTTTTCTGGGATGGATGTAGCATCTATCTTGAAATAGACTAAACCCTACAAAGACTATGTCCCAAACCCCTACCCCCCCCCCCTTCCCGATAAAAACAGTTCCTTGGGAGAAACTAAAGATTACCTGGAGGGCACGTGTTTCATCATCCAAAAATTGTTCCTGAACCCTAACAGGCTCTGATCGGAGTTCATTGGGCTCCCTTTCTTCACTTTGCTTCATGTGGTCTAAGTTGGTAGATGTAGATGCCGCTGTTGCACTAATTTTGCCAGCCTGTCTTGGTTTCCTTCGTAGAGGCACGCGGTTGATAGCTTCTTGGAAGCGTGTGGCTCGGAGTTGGTCAAATTGTGACGAGACAGAGTGAAGCCTTTCACTTAAAATCAAAACCTGTAAATCCATTGTTGAAAAAAATGCCTTTCAAAACTAGGACTGCCCACAATGGACTTTCAGTTTCAAAAGAATTTCATCAATTAATAAAGGAAGCACAAGCCCCTGACTGTCCATTTTTCATATAAAAGAAGTCTCACAACTATGGCTAATTGCAGGGCATTTTCCCTTAAGTTGCATTAGGTTCATGGCGCCCATCAGAAAAGGGAAAAATTACGGGATGCAAGGGAATGTCAAATACATAAATATGTGATTGCCTCGTGAGTTTGATTTTGAGGAATGTGACATTAGTTATAACTTATATTGTCAAACTGTCAAGGATAAACTCAGAATAGTCTTAAGAAAATGGAGGTAATCACTAATCAGTCATCTCATGATGTCCTATTTTACATAAGCATCCAAACATGAATACATGATGGCAGTATCATATAACCGAGGTGATCCTGTTATCTGAAACAAAAAAGGTTACATTAACTTCAATCTGATTACATTGTCTAGGTAATGTCACATTCCACAAACACAATTCCCCATTAGTTTCTGATACAGAGGTGGAAAATTATGTACTACGTAATCACTAACATGTCACATATTCAAAGTTTACTGATAAACAGGATAAGGCAAGAAATTATCATTACCACTCCATGTTTATGTGCTACTGTATCCGCATTTGAATAACCACCCTTGAATCCAATCCAACCCTTTGACTTTGCATCTTCATCATCATTAATACTATTTTTGAGAACATCAATTTGCTCTTTGCACGACTTTATGAAAATGGTGACCTACACAAAATTTAATGAACAAAGTTATCTGAAGGATACACTAAAATCAATATAAAATTTACAGCGTTCTAGCTTTAGAACACAAAAAGTCAGTTTAATCAAAGTAATAAAAGCTACCCGAGTATATCAGAATTGAATAGATAATTAGGTTAAGTAGGAAATCGGATATAAATATTGATAAAGCATATCCATCTTACTTCATGCTCAATGTTATCTCTCTCTTGTTCAGTCGTGCGGTACAAATCTACATAATCCTTCTTATGTTTCAACAAGAATTCTTCCAGGACTCTAATGCTATCTAGCTGGAAAAAAAGGACTTATTTGACAATTATATCTGTGGCCTGCTTCAGAATCCCAGAGCCAAAAAAACAGCATATTTGTTATTTTTAAGAGAACAAACACTTCATTTAAAATTATACCGTCTTGAGAGCAGCTATGGTGAAAGGAGATCTTGTTCGGGGTTTGTGCAAGATAAAGGATGCTAATATAGCTGCAATTTTTGTCTGTAAACAATCAATACGGTAAAAAAAAAATCAACTTGCTGCCAAAACTTAACACAAAACAAACCAATGTTACCGATACACACAATCTAATCTATATGACTAAATGAAGTATGGAGGTGAATGGTCATCATCATCCTGCACCAAAATTCCATCAATGTTGGGGTTGGTGGCATGAAATTTATAGTGTACTCTACTAAACAATACAAGTAATGCTATGGCTGGCTGTATGGAAGGTTGTTAAACTAAATATCCTAGTTACGATCGGAATAGGGTGGAAGATCATAACTGGGGAACGTAACTTAGTAAGATCCAAGACTAATAGCTAATACATAAAATTTATAAATTGTACCTTTATAGAACTTAAATTAAAAATAATAGTTATAATTCATCCATACTAATAAGTTAAGTTACATGAAGTAGTAATCATAAGATCAAAGTATGTAAATATCCAAATAAAAACAAGTTAATAATAAAATTATAAAGCATTAATCATAGCAACATGCATTTGCATCCCCGCAAACAACCAATGAAAAAGGTTGGGCTATTTGTGTTGCGTAAAACTTCTGATTAAGAATGTATTCATTCTTTCTGTGAATGCAGCACCATTAGAATTAGGTGAACACAAACGTGATATCAAGAGAAGAATACGAGTATCAGCAGCAGAGAAGCCCACAAAGACAAAGAGAAGAACAAAGAGAAAGCATGACAAGGAGAAGGTTTGAAGGATTTTATAAACGATGAAGATTTGAAGATGAAATGGGCAAGAAATCTTAGAGGGTATACAATGTAGGTGGTATGCCTTCATTTGGACTTACGAATTTTCATAAATTCTCTCTACCCCGGTGTATTTGTTCACTTTCTTTTTGGCAAATGAACCAACAAAAAGGGAAAAAGAGAGAAGAAAAAGATTTTTTTTCCTACACCCTACTCTTACTTTTTGGGTGGGAGAGTTAGAGTATTAGGTGAAGGCAAATAAGACAATGTCAGTTTTTTTTCCTTAAATGAAAGTGGACAAATACATTGGGACGAAGGGAAAAAGTTCTAGTTACAATTTTAACTTTGTTTCCTTTCCTCCATAGGGACTGAAAACTCATTCCTAACCCGTCCATGTGCAATAGATGAACATCTCCCTGATTAGATCAACCTGGTATCTTGTATTTCTCCCATCCAGGCCTCCAACTCGATGATATTGATTGATTTCCATATTTTTCTTCCCCTAGCAGCGGTGTAGATTGTATATTCCTTCTCTAATTGAATCTTACGAGTCAACTCATGAATTTAACAGCAATAGTTATATGATAGGAATATAAGGATATCAATGAATACATAGATTACCATATAGAAGAATATAATAATTAGTAAACCCAATTACAGCCACCATACAACAATAACCCAATAGAATCCCACGCAAATCTCACTCTTACCCCTACAAAAAGTAGAGAGGCTATTTCCAAGAGAGCATCGGCTGGATCAACACAGAAAACACATAGCATGCTAAATAACAGAGAGCAAACCAAGGGTATGAAAAGCACCATTTTTTTAATAACAAATCCTGATATTAGATAAACAAACAGCAAGACTGGCATCTCAGAGAACACTTGCAGGGCAAGAAACAAAACCCGAATCACTGTGAAATAAAGCCATATATTGATTGTGTACTATTTACAGCCACTATTATATTAGAATATAGAAGCATTTAGTAATACTGAAAGAAGATAGAAAAAAACATTTCCTGAAGCTAAAAATGTGAACCAATGAGGACTTTGACAACCTCTGGGTTTAAAAGCACATTATATTTCAAGACCAATGTTAAAAATTTTTAGATAAATAAGCATTAGAACATATCACAAATAAACATCTCCAGGACCTGGAAACAAAAAGGTGATATGTTAGTGAAGGCAAAGTACCTCATCATACCCCAAAGACACAGCTGATCGATGGACAGCATCTTTGAAATCCTCAGTTCTATCCCTAATTTTCACCATCCCTTCATGAGAAAAAATCACATTTCATCAAATCTATAGAATATAAAGAAAGCGTACTAAACCTAGGTCACTCAAAATAACTTAAAAGGCATAAAATAGGAAATTCTAAAAAAACTCACCACATTAAATATAGCTATTAACAGGCGTGAGAAAGAAAGGGGGTCCAGTGCCTTCAGGTGAGCACCTGCATGGTTTATATAACAGGTCAAGAAACTGCATAAGAGGCAAAACTGAAATTCAGAATAAGGAGGAGAAAGGATGAAGAAGAAGACAAGGAATATGAAGAAGCAGCGCACCAGGGCTGTTGAAGGGCAGGTTAATTGAAGTATATGGCAGAGCCGCAAATATTGATTGGAAGAAAGGGCTTTTTCTGATTTGTAAATAAAACTACAGTAATGCACCCCTAGGTAGGGCTGTTCATTGGTCTGAAACCAGACCGGACCAAAGACCGAAATACGTCAAAACTTAGATTGAAGACCGGACCTAAATGTACTCGGTTCTGGACCGGACCGGACCAAACCGGTCTAGACCGAAAGGACGAAAACAATGCTTAAACTGAGTTCAGATTTTAATTCTGGTGACCATTCCAGTTGTTTACCCAAATCATTTTGGCGAAGGAAGTAAAGCCTGTAGGGTAGGATTTTTGAATAGTTTCTTACAACACAACTGTCCACCTTCTATTTAGCAAAAATGCTAGGGGTACACCAAAAGTGTACCCCAAATGTACACCACCCCCTCCAATTACAGATTCTTCAAATTGAATAGATTCTTACAAATAATGGAAAGAAACAGATTCTTACAATGGTTTCTTACAAAAAATTGAACAGATTCTTCAATTATTGTTCAGTGGATTCTTCAGAAACACCAGGTGAAACAATTAGATTAGAAGTTAAATCAGTTTTAGAGAAGTCATTATATCATAGAGAAATAAAATCAGGTGAAAGGAAATATGATATCACCTGGAATGGTGCTGACGGAATCTGCCAATTGCCGATTGTTCCGAAGTGCCGACTTCCGATTGTTCGGAAGTGCCAAACTTCTGATTGGAGAGGGCGAGAGTGGAATCCGTCTGGAGAGTGGAGATTGTTGGAAGAAGATGATGGAGAAGAAGATTGGAGAGGAAGAGAATCAAATCAGGGACGGCGAGTGGGCTCTGTTGCGCAACTGGATGCTTAGGAAACGTAAAAGAGAAGATGAGATCTAAGGCAGCCGCTGTGAAGTGTAACAGTGTGTTTGGTTTGAGGTAAGGGGAGGTAGGGTGAGGTTAGATTTACAACCTACCTTGTTTGGGAGAAAAAAATGAGTCAGATAAGAGGAGGTGAAGGGAGGTAACCTTACCTCTTAGCACCTCTTAACAGTGTAAATTTGGCTACCGCATTTTAGGCGATAAACCAAGGTCAATCCAAATTTTTCCGTGTCTGCCCTCCTCTGCTTCGCCTCCAGCCGGACGAAGCTCCCTGCAATTAGCTTTCCAACTCCTCATCCGAAGCAGGTTTTTTTTTCTAATTTATTTCAGGCTTTTTTGAGCTTTCTTTGTGCCCTTGACTTTTTGCTGTTTTTGTTCCATTTTTTCGTTCATTTTTTTTCTTATGCTTCTGCTTTCTTTTCCTTTTTCTTTCTACTTTTTGTGTGTGTTTTTTCGTGTTCTTTATGGTGGTTTTTTTTCCTTTTTTTTCATGTTTGTTGAAGTTGTGGTTTTTTTATGTGAAATTTGCACTAAATAAGACTAAAACATAAGTCATTTCCCAATATAGAAAAACTTTTTTTTCCTAAATAGGACTTATTAATGTCTAGTGGGAGGAATAATGTCCAGTAATGATGGACATTTACTTGAATAATGACTAATTGATAATGACCGAAAGTCCTACATTGGGAAATAAAAACATATGATCTTATATTGGGAAAATCATTATGTTTTAGTCCTATTTAGGTAAATTTCTCTTTTTTATTTTGGTGCATTGCTGCTTTTTGGCTATTTATATAACTTTTTTTTGTCTTTTTTTTGGCTATGGAATATATGACTTCTAAATTTTGATTAGTTTTATTTTGGTGCATTGCTACTTTTAGTTTTAAGTAATTTTGTTGTTTATCTTACCTCACATTACCTAATAAATATCCAAATACAAATTTTCAACTCATTACCTTACTTTACCTACCTTCAATTACCTACTATTATCTACTTAATAAAACTTTATCTACCTCAATCCAAACATAGCCTAAGTGTTGTTCAAGTGACGAAAGAGTTCTAGAAAAAATACGAATTGGACTTGGGCCTTGGACTAGTGGAGTGTGGACTAGGGAGTATTTTTGGTCTAGACCGATTGGGAATCAGGTTTAGACTGGAGCGGATCAAAACTCGAAATGCTATGTTGGACCAAAGACTGACTCAAAATCTATTCAGTCTGGGTTCGGTCTGGACTTATCGGTCTGGTTCGGTCGATTTCTTCGGTCTGGACCTAAAAATGAACACCCCTACCCCTAGGCCCTAAGGCTGGGTGTAATGACCCACCACCATCTTCCCGTGATCTTCTCATTAATAACGAAATAAAATAAAATAAACCCAAAGAATAAAATTTTATTTATTAATATTCCTATTTTATAAAAGAAATAATTTAATTTGAATAGAAATAGGTAATTATTTAGAAAAAATAAGAGTGCAATCATTGCAGTGGTGGGAAGACATTATCAGTGTGAAGTGAGTGAGATGGCGGTCAGTGATGCGGCGCTAAGTAACGGCTGATTTGGAGTGAGGAGTGTTGAGGGATTACAGATAGCCTAATGTGCATTTCAGATATTTCATCACCCCGGGACTTCATAACATTTTATCTCAAGTTCCGAATCAATCTATATATGACGAAGATAATGCAGCTTCTTTAATTTGGCCCATTTTTCTGACCGATAGAATTGCGACCATCACTAATGAATCAATTAATTTGAACAAGTAGTTCAACACATACACACAACACGTGCATCTAACAGCTCCAGTTAGATTTAGGAACTTCATACTCCGTATCTAAGAGATATGGAGTAAGAGATACCTTATAACAAAAATAACTTGTATTAAAACCCTTTAAATCACTTATGTTTTGAATTTTCATAAACGAAGATATTATGGAGCATTATCAATCATGAATCTTGATTGAATATCTAATTATCTATATTGAATCATGATTGAAATTGTTTTACTAAATGCGAAGATATTTGGTAAAATTCAATTGATACAACACAGGTGCACCAATTCTCAGTTTCAGTTTTACAAGTGAAAATATACACACAAGAAAAAAAGTTTGCCTTTCTAGACAGTGGTCAGTTCTCTGTTGGAGTATTAACAATCTGGAAACCAAAATCATTTGAACCTTCAGATTTCAGAGAACAACAACGACCTAGTGTAATCCCAACTATGTTGAGGTCTGGGTTCAAGAGGTACGCAGTCTAACCCTTAACAGAGAAGCTATTTCAGTTAGATGCATTTCTTGCCCAATGCACCATCACTGGCAAGTGGCAACTTAAATAATTTTAAAAATGTCCTAAAATGCAAAACCCTATATTTCAGGGGTAGTAGAAGATCTACACAGTAGTGTTTCAGATCTGAAATTCCGATCACGAATTTAAAAATTCATCAATTAGTTAACGAGAAAATGTGTACTAATTGTGTTTCATACACCATGATTACTGAAAAATTGCGTTTCAATATGCGTTTGAGAGATATTTGATGAAGCAAGTAAAAATGATGATGAAGCGGTGAAAGAATATATACCAATGGAAGCTATGGATAGAGAAGAACGGTGAACAATCGTCTCTCCGTCGAACGAGAAGGAGGCTAGAAAAGAAGCTATGGAGCCGGCTCTGAGGCACTAGCTGGTTCTTTCAAGTTATTGTAATTGGAGTTTAGATCATCCAATGTGAGCAGATCAAATCATGGCCTTGTTTGGAAAACAGTTTTTAGTAACGAAATAAAATAGTGTGATCAGCCTCAAGTTTGGTGGTGGATCTTTTTTTTTAGGATTCAGTCTTGGGGTTGTTGGCTTGTTGTCATTTAAGTGAACGACTTAAAATTTTCCAAAGATCAACGGGGACCTTGTCTTGGTATTCGTCGTCTTGATACCGGGTGGTGGCTTACCGCAGGAAACCGTCATCATTCATCCTGCTCTTATAGGACAGAGAGCATTCCTCGTAAACTCGGATAAAGTTTCAGATTTTTCAGTTAATGTGGTCCCATTTGGAAGGGAGTTGGTCTCGGATTCGGTAGGAGGCGTCCTTGCTCATTGCCGCAAAGAACTTCTGTTTGATACGATCCCACATCACATCTTTGTTTGCTAATAACCTTTAAGAAATATATAATTGAACGAAAAAATATATCTTAGAGTAAGAATGTCTAGTAAGAAGAATAGTATTCAAGTGATGCTGGACATTTAATTGAATAATGACTAATAAATAATGATCAATGGTCTTATATTAGGAAATAAAAACATATGATCCTATATTAAGAAAGTTATTACGGAGTATATAAATTATCTTCTTTTTTTAGATGGGAGATTAGATTTTTCCTTTTTTTTTCAAAGCCCCGCAAGCCCAGCAATGTCTACACAATAAGAAACGAGGGAGACAGCTGATCTTGCACAGCCGCCAACAGCGAGGCAACATAAAATTTCAAGGGAGTGAGTAAACTTCGGAACTTCGCTTCTTGTTATAATTCCCTGCTCCATTGCCGAGTTATTTATTGCCGTCAGTCGAAACATCGGCGGAGAATGAGAGAAACTGAAGGTCTGGAGCAGCGGAGGGAGAGCTGCGGCGAAACCAGAAAGCGCAATCATATTTACTTCGAAGGGTTTGACGAAGAAAGAACAAAGAGGCAGAAGTGGGTCTCCCAAGCACAAACCCTAACTGTAAATTCCTATTCCAGCCAATTTCGAAACTTTCGCTCTTCGTCTTCGTCCTCATCCAGATCTAGATGGAATTCTATAAACCGGAATGCTTCCTGGGGTTCTCGCAAGTGGGTATATTCCTCTGGTGATTTTTCTAATTATAAAGGTATCGTCTTTTCTGCAGCCGAAGTATTATCTCTTCATTTGTCCTGTGATACTAGTTTAGTTGTTTTGAAAGCTTTGTTTATATGTTTATTGTGCAGATAGAATAGTCATTGTATCTTATAATATACTCGGGGTTGAAAACGCAGCAAAGCATCCTGATTCATACCTTAATGTCCCACAAAATTTTTTGAGCTGGTCTTGGCGTAAGAACCTTATAAGGAAGGAGATAATTGGCTATAAACCTAGCATAATCTGTTTCCAGGCAAGTTCTAGCAGCTCTTAGTAAGTTAATGTAATCTGTGAGATGAATGGGTTCAAAGTATAGGTGAATTAACGGTGTTTGAACCACTGTGGTTGTTTGCGTATATTAATAATTAGGTGAATTCTTGAGCTCAAGCCTTGTGAATGCAGGAGGTTGACCGCTTTGACGATTTATGTGATTTTCTTAAGAAGGATGGCTTTAAGGGTGTTTACATGGTATTGGTCCATTGTTCAACTTACGTTTTTGTAAAGCACCAGTGTTGTTGTGGGATCATTTTTGCAAACTCCCAAGTGAGACTTTTTCAATGATTTGCTTCAGCCTCGTACCGGTGAAGCGTGTGATGGTTGTGCTATATTCTGGAAGAAAAAAGTGTATGTATTTTCTAATTTTTTAAATCCATAAAGTAGCTATTCTTTTATGCCAAGCTTCCATTTTTTTCGCTTAACCACAATTACTGTCATTCTGAATTAGATTTCCATTGTTCTAGAAAACTCTTTGCTAGACTAATAGAGTAATAGTGTGTGCTTACCTTTTTATTTTGTATTTTTCTTTTCTTCGTCTTCCTTTTTCTTTATTATAAAACTTTTAGCCAGTGCTCTTATGCAAACAGATTTTCCCTTTTACATGAAGAAAAAATAGAGTTCCAGAGTTTTGGCCTAAATCACAATGTTGCTCAATTTTGTGTTTTGAAGGTACGGTGGGGTTGATCCACTTCTATTTATCTCTATACTCGCCCCCATTTATTGGAATTTTGATCTAACCAGCTTATCAATTGTCTATATCTGCAGTTGTACTTGTGACGTTGTCTTGTTCATCCCCTTCCCATTTCTGATCATTGGTTATGTGTTTCTGGATCATAGCATGGAATTTGAATGATAGAAAGAAAAAAGCTTGCATGTTAATGCTAAGCTGTCTTGAACTTGCTTTTTTCCCTTTCAATGAATCAGCCACAAATATATATATATGTGTGTGTGTGTGTGTGTGTGTGTGTGTATACATACACACACACACACATAACTCTTTCTGTCCCCAAGTAAACTTTAGAATTCCTTTTTTTGCATGTTCAATAATAAAGTTTATACTTCCTTAGTAGCAAGGTAATGATTATGTGGCTCACTTTGTTTCTCTCTTTTCTATTTAGATTTTAACCACACATTGTTTCGCTTTTAGAACACTTTTCTTACATTCCTTATTAGCCAAACCGTAAAAATTATTTAGGGATGGGGGGAATATGTTTTAGGATGAAAGAATCTCTGCTTGCTTGCTTAGTAATTGACCAATTATTTGATTTTTTTCTCTTGGATTGATTGTGTCTTCAGGAATTCTTTTTGCTTTCATTACTTCATTAATACTCTGTATATATTAATATGGTGTTTAGTGTTTCACTCTGCAGATGAATAAAAAACAAGTGCAGTCAAAGTCACACAGACAAGAATCAAAGTAAGCTCAGCCATTATTGGTCTGATCTTTTGCCCGAATGATAGTGGGATTTTTCATTGTTTTCCTTTCTTTTATGCTCCCTCTATCTCACAATAAGTTACACTCTTCGAACCACGTGCAAAATCCCGTGTATTTTTTATTTATTTGATTTACAACTTGGTATAGAAAAAAATACAACTTGCATATTAAAAGAATACATCAAAAGTTCTACAAACCAAGATGTGACAATAATATTTTATCTTATCAAATGATCAATAAAAACACACAAGTAAACAAAAGTAATTGAGAGGTCAAAACAGTAACAGTTCATTGTGGGACGGAGAGAGTATACAATATGCATGCCCTTGCTGTCCTGCATAAGGTACTGATTTTTTTGTTGTTGCACTTAAAGGTCAAAATTGACTCCAAATCAAAGTTTAGTGGTTGGGAATATACACGTCCTCTATAATCCAAGGCGAGGAGACATAAAGCTAGGCCAGGTATTGACTGCTTAAGATTACATTTTCAACAATGCAAAATGTGCATTTTGATCACTCTCTTCTTTATTGTAGTTTATGTAAAAAAGATTAGCCCTGTCATCTAACTCTACATGGTGTATAGGTCAGACTGTTTCTTGAAAAGGCCCACTGTCTATCACAAGAATGGGGCAGCATTCCTGTTATACTTGCTGGAGATCTTAATAGCACTCCTCAGGTGTTTTTTTAGCATAATACTTTGTCCCAAAATAAACTTCTCAATTTCCTTTTTTGTTTGTCCCAAAACAAGCTTTTCATTATTTTTAAAGTAAGTATTGAGTAGTTCACATTATTTCTCTCTCCTTATTTATCTCTTTTCTTGAACTCCGTGAAAGTTTCTCATTTGGGACAGAGGGAGTACTTTGTTAGCATCTAAGTGCTTGATATATACAAGCTGTTTCTCATTTACCCTTTCGTAAGCTGATTTTCTTTTTGGTAACTTGTGATCAGAGTCCCATGTATCAATTCCTGGAATCATCAAGGGTGAGTTCCGATTCTGATGGTTTTTTTGTTCTTACGTTTCTCTATGTTTTTTTTAAAAAATATTTTCCTACCTCTCTGCTCTTTATCTTATTGATTTCACTGAGATAGGAATCCTTGATGTGTTCCCCTCTTTTGTTCTATTAATTTGCAGCTAAATGTCCAATTCCTGGATCGCAGAAATATCTCTGGGCAGCAGGAGTATGAATGTTGTGGCAATGGATTTGCATTTCAAAATTCTAATATACGAAGGTCTTTTTTCGTGTGCTGTATGCAAGCATTGATTGTCAAACAATTAATTTTTGTTGTCTAAAGCTTGAACATTAAATCTTTGATATTGAGATGATTTTTTACTCCGTTTCTCTCCTTTTTTCCCGAATCATTTTAGTAATTTCTGTACATCAGGTGCACTACTTCGGCGTCTCATTCTAAAACATGGATGAATGGGTGGAGTGAAGAGGAGTTGATGCTCGCTACTGGCAGTAGAACAGCCACTCATTTGCAACACAATCTCAAGTTATACAGTGCATACCTTGGAGTTCCAGTATGTTTTTTCTTGCATCTATTACTCACAACTGTTTTCATGAATGTCTTTTTTGGGCTTTTTTCTCAATGGAGGTAAAGAAGGCCATATTTGGCAATGTTTTAGCTTTGGGTAAATAGACTAAATGAAAACAACACATTTACACACACCTTGTTTCTTACCACGTACTAAGTTTTTGGGCAGTAAATGCAGAAATTCCCCAAAGTTCTGGCTCTGGCACAGACAATCTCTGTTTTTCTAGTATTTGCATTCATCTTGCACCTTAATACCTCACAAAAAAGGAAAACTTCTTGCTAATATTCATAGGAAAATGCCATTTTATGTAATTAGGGACTCCGGTAGTTCAAAATTACCATGGTTGCCCCAAGAATTTAAACATTTTTATGCCATCACTCCGCGACCTGCCGGAAGTTTCAAATCCGGTTTTATTTTGCTTATCTAGACAAAAACTAGAAGTAAGGCCAGGGCATCTTACAAGGCATATGCATTTTTTTTGTCCAAATAAACAAAACAATAAGACCGGAATTAAGGCTTCTGGCTGGTTGCAAAGTGAAGACATAAAATGGTTGAATTTCAGAGTAAGCATGATAATTTTGGAATCTCTGAGTGTTTACATGAATTCACATATTTCTGGGAGTATTGACATGATTTTTTTTCGAAAAGAAAGAAAGAAAATTTTGTCATTAACCCGGATATTCTTATAGTAAAACAAACAGAAAATTGATATTATTTTCTGAACTAGTGCCTGCTTTTCTTTATAAGGGGAGCCGTGCAACAAGAGATAACTATGGAGAGCCATTGGCAACATCACATCACTCAAAGTTTTCGGGAACCGTTGATTATATTTGGTAGGTAACTTTTTGCTGTTGTAAGAAGATAATAAATATATGCTTTGCATGCAAAGTTTGGTCCCTGATTATAATAAGATCTAGAACAGGCATACAGAGCAACTTATCCCTGTTAGAGTTCTTGATACCTTACCAATGCACATTCTGAGGAGAACTGGTGGCCTGCCTAGCAAGGTAACTTTATACTTCTAATAATAATAATAGAGGGAGGAATTGTAGAGTTACACCATCCCAAATGGTGTATCTTCGTGACACCATTTTAATTGGGGTACCTACGGTGCCCGTTTATAAAATTGACGGTCCTTACCTCTTATAACCCCACCCCCGACCTCACCCAGCATGACCCCCCTGCCCCCGCAATTGCACTATACACGTCTGGTTGAAATTTTAGTCAAAATTTTGACCCAGAAAGCCAATAAAACTTATGGGGTGCAATTGTAGGGGAAGGGGGGTCATGATGGGGCGAGATTGGGGGTGGGGGTTTATAGGGGGTTATGAGGGGTAGGAACCCCTAATTTTACGAACGGAGCACCATAGGTGCCCAATTGAAATGGTGTCACAACGTTATACCATTTGGGATGTTGTAAATAGTGCAAAGAGGTATCTTTATTTACATTCCGATTTTACCCTTCACTGGAATTCTGCAGGTATGGGGGAGCGACCATCTTGCTCTTGTATGTGAACTGGCATTTGCTGCTGCTGATGATGATGATAATAATAAGAACATGTAAGTGTGCTTAGCAAGAAGAGAAGAGATATCCATATTTTGTCCAGAAGGCAAAAATATCCATTTTTGTCCACCTTCCAAAAATTTCTTCATTTTGCTATTTTTTCTGTACGCAGTTTTTTTAAACCGATAGAAAAAAGGAACCCATCACTAACATTTCAATTGAAAAGAAATCTCAACACAAAATATGAAGTACTCGTGTATGTAGTCAATTCAAGAGAAAGCAGTAGACAAAGGCTCGTTGTTTTGGACATCCGAACTCTTTACTATCATGGATTAGTAACATGCCAAATGTACCAATATTAATTCTTTTATAAATCCTTCACTTTCCAACAATAAATAACCATTCTTTATAAACTTTTTATAAAGTTTTCACTATTTAGTTATTTTAGAAATATTTTTTTATTGTTTTAACATATTTTTTAAATATGCACGACTATTTTATATTTTTTTAAAAATTTATATAATATTTATATATTAAAAAACAATGTTGCTTATAATTTTTAAAATTATCCATCATCTCTAAAGAACTAGTCCTTCCGTCTCATTTTATAACGCTTGTTTCGGTTTATGATTTTGATTGAAATTATTTTCAAATCATTTTATATGACAAATTGTATAGAGTTAAAAAATAAAAATTATATATTAAAATATTATATCAAAAGATCTACAAAACTAGTAGTGATAATACTATTTTATTTTATCAAATTGCTAATGAAAATAGAGAAAGAAAGTTAATGAAGTTTGACCTTGTGAATAGTGAACAAACATTATAATTTGGGACGGAGGGCGTATTATATACAAATTTTTTCACACATGCATCTTGATTATATATTTATTCAGCTAACTAAACAAAGTGAAAGTTAAATTAAAGAATTACATTTGACATATGATAGATATACATTCTCTAATGATGTGTCAATACTTAATTGATCTATTTGACATTTTTATTTTAAATTTATCAACTCAAACAATTTTCAAAATAGTATTACAATTTTTTATCACATATAAATATTTATTAAATGCTGGATTTATTTCAAACTTTTTATCCTATTACATTTTAAGAAGTATATTTTAGTATACAATGTATATTTTCTCAACAAACTAAACAAAGCAAAATTAGAGCTGAAGGATGATACATGCTGCATGTCATATACTCCCTCCGTCGTAGAATTTTCTTACGAGTTTGACTTTGCACAATTTTTAATAAATTGAAATGTTGGTGGTTGTTGTTTGTGTAAAGGAAAGAGAATTAATTTGAGCCATAATTATATATTTTATTTCAAAACATTTTATCTGTAACATTATTTAACTTCTAATATATTATTTCAACAAGTTAAATTAAATAAATTTGTTTTTGTTGAAGGATAACACATGACATATAGGTCATATACCACTTATGCAATTTTCATTACTTGGTTGATTTCTTTGGCATTTTTATTTTATTTTTCATTGATTAAATCAAATTTCAATATTGTTTTATTTGATAACCCTTTTGAAATATGTTACCTCTTCCTCCTAAAAAAGTTATCACAATTTGATGTTTTTGGTCAAGTTGCTCTATACTTTAATCACAAAGTTTGTAAAAAGTATATTATATATGGTTATACTATAAATTTAGAAAAAAATGTGTCCATTTAAATTTTTTTTTTCATATGTCAATTTTTTATGACATCTAATTATTGAAAATTATATTTAATTTGTAATCAAAGTGTTACATAATTTTACCAAAAAAAGTAAACTATGATAACCTTTTTGAAACGGATGGAGTATATAGATTAAAAATCTTACTATATTTTATTCAATGTTTGTATTCATTTTAGAGTTTATGTGTTACACTATTCAAAATATATTTTGTACATAATTAGATTTTATCTAAAAAAAGATTTTATAAACTTTATTAATCCTTTAAAAAATAAAGAATGATGTAATTTTTAATAAACTATTCATCATTTTCCTTTTATTACATCTAAAAATAAATATTTATATAAATTTTAACACATGTACATCAATATTATATTAAAATTTCTCTCTCAAAAGAGATACGAAGTATTTTATAGTTAGATAATATTAATTAAACACATTACACACACACACACACACACATACACACACACGGTAAGTATAAAATGACACCAGTGCTACTGCTGTCATTTGCTTACACCATTTCGTTTAGGGTACCTACGATGCTCCGTTTGTAAAAATGACGGTTCCTACCCCCTAAACCCCCCACCCCAGCCCCCCTCCCTACCCTGGAAGTATACTACACTTCCAGGGTAGGGAGGGGGCGGGAGGGGGGACTTGGGTGGGGGTAGGAACTTTCATTTTTACAAACGAAGCACCGTAGGTACCCCAAACGAACTGGTGTAAGCAACTGATGTATAAGTAACATGTGTAATTTTGGACGCTCAGACACACATAGATTTCTATACACACACACACACA